AATTACATGGAGAAAAAAATGAAAATGGAAACAAAATGGTTCAAAAATCTTTGGGATGAAGCAAAAAAACTGCTCCAAGGAGGGAAGTTTATATAAGCAATACAGTGTAATACCTCAAGAAGCAAGAAAAATCCCAACAAATAAACCCAACCTGGCACCCAAATGAGACAAAGAACAAACAAAATCCCAACAAGTAGAAGGAAAGAAATAATAAAGATTGACCAGAGGTGCCTGGATGGCCTTGAAGTTGATTGAGTGACTCTGACTTTGGCTTCCAGCTCAGGTCATGATCTCAAGTCTGTGATGGCTTCATGCTGACAGCACAGAGTTGCCTGAAATTTCATTTCTCTCTGTCTCCTTCCCTTTACTAGCCGTGCTAATTTCTCTCAAAAGAAAAAAAAAAATTAGCAGCCAAACACATAGAAACTTAAAAAAAATAAAATGAAAAGGAGAAATAAACGAATAAAACAGTAAAGGGTTATAAAGACATGGAAAACTATATGCCAACAAGTTGTAGCCAACCCTAGAAGATATGGATTCTAAAACATAATACATCCCAAAACTGAATCAGGAAGAAAACAAAATTGAAACAAACTGATCACCTACAATGAAATTCGACCAGTCATCAAAAAAAATTCCAACAAAAGTCCAGACCGATGGCTTCAGGTAAATTCAACCAAATATTTTAAAGAGTAAGAATAATTATTTTTCTCAAACTATTCCAAAAAAAAAAAAAAACCAGAGAGGAAGGAAACTTCCAAATCTATTTTAGGAGGGCCTTGTGTTAAATTTGATACTAAAACCAGATACAGATATGTATTACAAAAAAAGAATTATAGCTTGCCAATTATCTCTGATGAACATAGATACAAAATTCCTCAACAAAATACTAGCAAACCAAATCCAAATAAATAAGATGAAAACAATCATTCACTACACCAAGCAGGATTAACCTGGTTGCAAGGGTGGTTCACAAATCAATCTAATACATCACATCAATAATAGAAAGCGATAAACCATACACCAAGGCTAATAGACGATAAAAAAGTGACAATAAAGTACAAGATCCATTCATGATAAAAACCGTATTATGTTTAGAAGAAAACGCATTCTCGTAACATAATGTACCCATATATGAAAACCCACAGCTAATATTTATACTGAATGGTGGTGAAAAACTCCGCTTTCACCTTAGAACAGAAGCAACACAAGGGATGCCCCAATTCACCACTTTTTGTTCCACAAAGTCTTAGCCACAGAAATCATATGCTGAATAAAAGCATCCAGGAGAAATTAAGATATAGATACTATACAGAAAACTTCTGGAAGACTCCACCAGAAGTTGCTTGAACTGGGATAAATTAATAAATGAATTCAGTAAGGTCACAGCACACAAAAAATTCAATATACAGAAATGCATTTCTTTTTGCTTTTCTCCTGCTAATACACCAGCAGCCCAACATGGGGCTTGGACTCACATCCCTGAGGAAGGGCCTGAGATGAAACTGCAAGAGTTGGAATACTCAACCACTGAGCCACCCAGGCACCCTTCCACTGCATTTAATACACCAATAACAAAGCTATAGAGAAAATTAAGAAAGCAACCTATTACAATTGCATCAAAATAAGACACTTAGGAATAAACTTAAGGAAGTGAAAGACCTAGTATTCCTGAAAACTATAAAACACTGATGAAAGAACCTTAAAGAGGTCAGAAACAAGTTTGAAAGATATTCCACGCTCATGGACTGAAAGAACATGGCTTAAATGTCCATACTGGAGTACCTGTGTGGCTCAGCTGGCTACATCCAACTCCTGAGGCTCAGGGTCATGACCCTGGGAGGTTCAGGAAGCCAAGCCCTGCTTTGGGCTCAGCTTTGACAGATGAGGGTCTTGCTGATTTCTTCTCTTCTTCTGTCTCTCCTCTGTTCCCACTTTCTTCCCTCTCCCAAAATAAACTTTTTTTTTTCAACGCTTATTTTTTTTGGGGACAGAGAGAGACAGCATGAATGCTGGAGGGGCAGAGAGAGAGAGGGAAACACAGAATCAGAAACAGGCCTGTGCCTGAGCCATCAGCCCAGAGCCCCACGGCCTCGAATCCTGGGACTCAAAGGATCGCACCCCTGGCTGAAGTCGGATGCTAGAATTAATTACAGCAGCCACCCAAGCCAAATAAACTTAAAAATAGAGAAATAAAATGTCCATACTAATTCACATTAAATGCCATCCTATCAAAATACCAACACCATTTTTCACAGAACTAGAATACTCCTAAAATTTGCATGGAAACACAAAAGACCCTGAATGGCCAAAACAATCTAGAAAAAAAAAAAAAAACCTGAAGGTATCACAATTCTGACTTCAAATTATATTACAAAGCTGTAGTAATCAAAACAGAATGGTATTGGCATAAAAACAGACACAAAGATCAAAAGAACAGGACAGAAAGCCCAGACATAAACCCATGATTATACAGTCAATTATTCTTTTTTTTTTTTTTTAACGTTTATTTATTTTGAGAGAGGATAATGAATGGGGGGAGGCAGGAGAGAGGAGACATGAACGCAGGCTCCAGGCTCTGGAGCCATTGGCCTGCAGAGTCTGCAGAGGGCTCTCAACTCACTGACCGTGGAGGGATCGCGGGGACCTGAGCCAAGC